CACAATAACTTAAATTAATAGAAATTATAGAAGTATTAGATACATCTTCAACTAAACAAATTTCACATTGTATTTTAGAAATTAAACAGCTTTTTCTAATATAAATTCAATTACCATTTATAAATTAATAAGACTTTTATTAGTAAACATACCCAAAATATTTTCTTTACATCATCTTCATCTTATTCTATATATTAAGATACTGCTCTTCTTGAAATCTCTCCCTGAGGTTTCTACTTCTCTACAAGTTCAATATCCATATTTTATTTTATATTTTGATTATAAAAAATATGGAAAATAAAAAATAGAATAAAAGCAAACAAAATTTATATAAATCTATTCTTCAATTAAAATACTCTATGCATCCATGAGCATACTAAAAACTAATATTTAAGTGGATGTAGAGAACATTAATAAGAAGAAGAGTAAAGAGTATAAGAGATAGATATATTTGTGAATATATACTGAGAAAATTAATGATAAGAGTAATTCAATAAATAAAATTAAGATAAGAAAAATAAAAATAAATTTATTTTGAAAATTTCTACATTATATATACAATTTTCTTAATATTTTAGTATCAAAACAATTAATTTAATAATTTGAGATTTAATTAATTTCAAAATTAATTCAAGATTTTTTTACAGATGGTCTTCTATTGTGTAACTGTAGTTATTAAATCACTTAAGGTGCTTTATTATTTGTTTATGTTAATGGTTTTTCATATTTTTTCTTTTCTAACATCTCTTTAATTTATTATCCTTCTATTAATAATTTACCCATTTAACTAATTTCTCTATTTGTTCTACTTAATAAAGTATTTTCATGTGATGTTAATTAAATTTTTGCAGCAAGTCTATCACATTCTTATTATAATTATCTATTCATTCCTTCTAATCTTTCTACAACTGATTATAAATGCAATATCTCCCTATCTTTCAAAATCATTTATTATGCATTCTTATCAAAATTCTAAGAACTTTACTTAATGTAAATGAATACTTTTTATTATTTCTCTTTAATTATCTCAATTCTTCTTCATTTTTTTGTAAGTCATTTTCAAGATTAGCAACTTACCTTAAGAGATCTCTATTCTAATCTTATAATTACATACATTATTAAGATACCTCTTCAAAGGATCTAAATTATATTAATATTATACTATTCTGCTTATTCTAAATAAATTCTATCTTCTTAAATTTATTTAATTAAATTTTCTGAATTTTTTAATTTCATTTCTAAATCTATATATTTATCATCTTTAATTTTAATAAGATCATTAAGATTTTATCTTTCTTTTTTTAATGATTCTATTTAATTTAAATTATCTTTCAATTCTTTAGATTATAAATCTTTAATCTAATTTAATTGATTATTCTATATTTGATTTTCTTTTAATAATTAAATAATTTAAGTTTATTGATCAGATTTATTTTATTATAATTCTTTTAATTATTAATTAAATTCTTTAATTTATTATTATATTTATAAATCCTTAATCTATTATTATTATTATAATTTATCTATTAAAGAGTCTTTTTCAATTAATTAATTTTTTTAATGTTATGATTCTTATAAATATTAATTATTTAATTCCTATAAATCATTATACTTTTATGTGAGAACAGTAATTTCTTCATTTATAACTTAAATTTATTATTAATATTGTAAATTCTGCATTTGTAATTGATCATATTAAATTTTCATTTATTAAAATTCTTTATTTTTATTTTTCTCAGATGTAGACAATTATTGTTATAAAGTAGAAAATCTTTCATTTGAATTTTAAATTGAATCAATTTTAGATGCTAATTTATTTCTTTCTATTTCAATTTATTAATAATCATTATATAAGTAAGAAAGATTTTATTCATATTTTTCTGATTAATATTTCATTTATTAAATATAATTTTTTAGATCTTCTATTTTTTAATATAATTAACTTATTTCTTATTCTTTTTTAATAATTAATCTCTCTAATTCCTTAATTTTCTTTTTATTTTATTTCTATATATGTTTATTTTAATCTGAATTTTATAAATTTTTAATATCCTAAGGATAAGGTTCATGATTATTAAGTGATTCTTATAAATTAGTTATTTCTTATACTAATTATTCATTTTCTTCTTGTAAAGAATGAAGTTGTTCTTTATATAAATGATTTTCTTATGTTAGATATTCATTTTATTATATTTTATGTTGCATTTATGATATATGAAGATCGTTTTCCTCAATAATTTAGTTATAATATGAAGTAGCAGAATCAATTTGTTTTCTACATTCATGTATTTAATTTTCAAAAAATTCATTTTCTTATCTTAAATTCTAACTAATAGTAAATTAAGTTCTGAGATCATTCTTAAGATTTTCAATTTGATCATTTAATTCATTATTTTCTGTTTCAAATTAAAATAAAGTCTAGAATTATGATTAGATAATATACCTACTTCATAGTTGTCATTTCATTTTATAATTTCTAATTTTCAAAGGCAATATTTTGATTTAGTTTTTGAAGATTGTCATATCTTGAATGTAATTCTAGTAATTCATCATCTTAAGATAAAGACATAAAATATAATTATATTTAAAATAAAAGATTAACGATCATAAAATTATCATTTTTCACCATCTGAATCAATTACTTTAATATCATTTCCAAATAAATCATAGAAATTGATTAACTCAATTGTGACTTTGATATTGAAGTCTATATTTTCTTAGATGTCTTATTATTATTACTAATATCCACCAATAAATTAAGACATAAAATGTAAAACTGGAGGTAACAAATAACTATTTATCATAATTAAAACTATTGGGATTATAAATGAAGGTTAATGAGCTAATAAGAGTATTGATTTAATTCAATTTAATCTCTTAATATCTTCAATAGATTATTATAGAAATAAAATATTGTGATCTAATTTATGTTAATTTAGGACATTTATTCTTTAGTTTTTATTGATTTATAACAATGTTTAAGTATTTAATGGAGATATGAAAAAATTTTAATTTTACTATCAAATATCAGATCAAAACATTGTCTAAATAGAATTAATGATCTACTCTTTTTATTATTAATAGTTTTTATTCTATACAAGATTTCATATTTATTAATAGAAATAATTTCATTATGAATTTAACTATATAATAAGGGCATACTTCAAGAATAATATATCTAATATTATAATATATTGTATTATTAATTAATAAATTACAACACTGTTGATTATTATATGAAAAAAAGTGTTTTATATCAATTTTATAATTATTTATAATTTTATTAATTTTCTCCTTAAGAATAATTACAAAAAATTCATCACTTTATTTTTTGATTATAAGTATTATTTAATAATTAAAAATGATATATATAATAATTAGAATTTAAATATATTCATAAATATAATCATTATATAATATGATGACCTAAACATGATGGTTGCTAAGTTTAATTGAATTTATTTCTAGTAGTATTTGGAGCTGAAGTATTAGGTCTTGTAAAGAATTATCGGCTACTTAAATTTCCTTATCTCAAATCAAAACTTTAAGCCATCGAAAATGGTCTTACTTTTTTAAAAAGTATATCATCAAATTTTAGAAACTTTTTTATTATATGTGGTGTATATGTATTTTTCTTATTTACATCATTAGATTTGATTTAAGTATTTAATTTCTAATTTAATCTGATTAAGAGATTTCGATTTTATGATTTTAATTTTTCATTTGTAATTTATAAATCAATCTTACTTTATTATAATTCTTAAATAGATTTCTAACATTCCAGCAATTCTTTAGATAAATCAATATGAACACTTTACTACAATTCATTTGTCTATTTTGACTATTTCATAGATTTTACTTTTTTCTTTTTAATTAGTTCTGTTTAAGTAGCAATAGAATTATATTAATTAAATTGAACTTAATTATAATTATATATTTAACTTTGAATTTCTTATTTAATTGTTTATTAAGTTATTTAGAATGGCTTTGAATTTTAATTATTTGGTATAATGAATACTGATTGATGTTGTTCATCAGAATTAAGAAACACTTCTGCAATACTTTTTTAAAGCATATTTTTTTAATTGAAATATTCAGATTCAGAAATTATATTATGATTTTTAAGTTGTAATAATAGGGAATTTATCTTTTAGGTTAAAAGTTAATTAACAATTTCAAGACTTACATAATTTTTTGTTTGAATACATTTAAATTCTTATTCTAATAAGAGTTTAGAATATTACTCATTTTTAAATCTGAGTTATTCACAAATCAACTTACATTCTTAATGCTATTCAACTATTAATAACAATTATTATTTATATTTGGATTCTAAAAGTTTCATTTATTATATAACATAATCATGAGCTTTTGATTATAATTAAGTTAATTCATCTCTTAATTTAATTGCTTATGAATCTCTCAAAAGCTATATATATTAATCTTATTTCATATAAGTTTATTATTTATTATTTATAAATACTTATAATTTAAATAAATTTTTATAACATTCTAATTAAATATTAATATTTATCCAATTTTTTTTAGTAATTTTTATTGGAATAATCATTTTTAATATATTTCTAATATACTTATTACTAAATTTATAATCATATTTATAAATATTCAAATCATCATCTGTTAATAAATGAAAGGGAAAATGATTTATTTAATTAGCAACCTATTTATTCATTTAAAAAATCTTATTATATTCTTAGAGATTCTACATTCTATTAGATATTGAGATTAACAATAAAATTATTTATATAAATATATTCAATTATTTGATGTTTTGATATCTATATTTTATTAAATTCATAAATTAATATATATTCAATTTCTTACAATAAATATATAGTATGTAATATTAAAATTAACATTTAATGAGAATAAGAATGTTTAATAATAATAAATTGAATAATTAATTATATGATATATAATTATTATAATGATTTTTATTAATATAATTACTATGCCTATTGTTTATTACAACAATTAAAATGCAATAATATTTGGAGGTTGGATATGCTTTATCAAATAGAGCTAGATGTACAGGATGCTTTTAAAATATTACTAAAAATGAAATTAGATTTGGACATGTTTTTGTGGCACCAGGATTTGGATATGACAAAAAACATTGGTATCATTTGACATGTTTAAAATTTATACCCAAAGGAGATCGTAATTAAGATGTTGCTCTAATTAATATTCATTGTTTAAAAACAGAAGATCAAAAGAAAGTTCATGATAGATTAGATTTCATTAAAAAAAATTGTGGAAAAAGTATATCAATTATATTAATATTAAGAATTCGCTAAAGAATGTAAATTATTGGAGAAATAAGATGATCAATGTGAATATATCAAAGCAGATAAAGATATCTTTTCAACTTTTATTAAACATATGAAACATAAAGAACGAAAAGATTTAGGAGAGTTTTGATGAAATTTGATAATTTATTTATTCAAAAATTTATAAATATAATAAAAAAGAATAATAGATTGAATTAATTGGAATCAATATAATAATAATAGGAATTTTATAATATAAGTAATATATAAGGTTAAAATTTATTATTATATATATATATATATATTAAATTTATTAGAACCTTATAGAAATAGTTAAATCTATTATCTGATCTTTAGTATATGTAAAATTTCAGAACTTAATTTAATTATTTATTTAAGAATTTTTATTTCATTTTAATTTATTGTTTTTAGTTTAAAGAAATGATAAAAATATTTTTATTTGATAAACATAAGAATTGAATAATAATAGAATAAGTGTTTATAAAAGTAATTAGACGTTGTGAATAATTATTTTTTTTATTGTGGAATTTTATTAATGTATCTAAATATTTAAGTCAAATCAAATTTTTAGATAATTTAATACTTATTATGAAAACTCAATCTGTATTTACTTATTCCCTTCATTCATCCAGAGATTCCTGTCATTTTAAATTTACTAAGACAATTCAATAAAAACATAGACATTCATTTAGTGATCTATTTACAAATAATGCATTGGAACAGTGTAATAAATAAAAGATAAGAAGAAAGAGTTGTTATTGTAATGAATGTGGTAGAATGAGTAAATTTTAATACAAATTTATGAATCTTAAGCATCAATTACTACAAAAAAGAAATCAGAGTTATACTTTACATACATCAACAGAACATTGGCCAAGCTAAAACAAATTCTCTATTTAGCTTCCAAGTATTTTTTAATCATTATTAAGATATTTAACATATTCGCAAAAGTTAGAGTTCATTTCGTATAAGTAGAAAATCATTATTAAATGAAAGATCTGAAGAACAAAGATCTCCATTAATGATATATGACTCTTCATTTGCAAGATCTTCAATTAGTACAACCTAAAAATTATTGGAAGAAACAGCTATGAAAAATAAACCTTTTAGACCAAGTGTTTTTCATTCTCATGATGGACATACTCCACTTGTACTTAAATCTTAATAATTAATTATTGAACGAATTCCATAAACTGAAAGATCAACAAATACAAAAATCAAACTACGCAATAATACTAAACTTTTATGTCCACTTCTTATTGGATTTACTAAAAAACTTTTAAATTTTACAAAAATGAAACCACCTCAAATACATAAACACAACAGATATAAAACATAATGATATTATAATAATATTTATCTTTTAGTTCTTTATAATAATTATATTTTTATATGTAATAATTGGATTTACCATTTGTTAGAAAACAAAAATAAAATACAGATATTTGGAAAGGTCCTAGTTTCAAGGATTATTCATTTGAAGAAGAACGAACTTCACATATATATAAAAAATAACATAGAAGAAAAAGTTGTTATTGTTAATTATGTGGTAAAATGAGTCTCTTTCAATATACTTATATGAATGTTTCCTCTTGTGTTAATCATATTAATAAATCTTTAATTCTTCAATAAGATATTGAAAAACAATAAGAACTTGAAAAATAAAAACATATTACAAATCATAGATTATTTAGAGATTACATTAATTAATAAAATAATAATAGAAGTAAATCTATAGATTAGATTAATACAAATTTTATTAATAATTATTTAAGAGATAGGAATAGAAAAAGTTGTGAATGTAATGAATGTGGAATATAGAGTACTTTCTAATAAAAATATTAAAATTTGCATTTGTTTAAAAAATAAATACTGGCAAATCAATTTAGAATTAAAAAGATTTTAAAAAGACCATAATTTAGAAAATAAAATACAGAATAATTTTCACCTGTTAAAAATGGAGAGTTTAGATATTTAAAGAAAAGAATACTTGAAATAGATCTTAATAATTCAAAAAATGAAAATCCATTATTAAAAAAGTTTCAAGTAAAATAACCTTAAACATAAAGAGTTTTACGTCATCAATAATCATTAAATTTATTTGAAACAAATACTAAAACTAAATATGATGTACATTCACCTTTAGAAAATAAAAAATAAATATTACCTTATTTATAATTTAATTAAAATAGAAGTCCTCCTTAAAAAAATACAAAAAAAAGTATAATTACAAATCAATAAAAAGAATACTTTAAAAAACATAATTAAAAATCTGGTATTTTTTGATTATAATTCATTTCTTTAATTTATTTTTTCTAATTCATTTTTATTTTTTAATAAATATATATATTTTATTTTAAAAAAGTAATTAAAAGTATATATAATTTATTAAATAAACTAAGAATTCATTATGTCTTCATCAAACAATTAAAAATAAATTAAACGGAGGAACAAAAGTTATATTCATATTACAAATCATCAAATGACTGAATAATGTAAATAAAGAAGAAAAAGTTGCAGTTGTTTGTAATGTGGATAACTTAGCTCTCTATAATTTAAGTTTATGAATTTATAATCATAAATTTTACATTTTTCAACAAATTAACATAAGAAATATTAGAGTATTGAATCAACATATATAGATTCTCAAGATACTATTATTGCAAATAATTAAATTCATAAAAGAAACACTAAAACAATATTAATAAAATAACATAATTCTAAAAACAATAATATTAGTCTTATATAAACTAATTCAAACAATTTCTATCAAAAATAAAGATCAAATAGCTGTTATTGTGATGAATGTGGAAATATTACAAAATTTTAAAAATAAGCAAAGTTAATTTATACCTAATAAATAATTAAATCCAGACATACTAATTTTAGAATTAAAAGAAATCTAGATTAAATGTTTAAAGGAATTAGTCCAATAGAAAGAAAATAAGAATAAGAAATTGAAGAAGATGAAAATAATCCACTCTAACCTAATCAAATTACATCATTTAGAAGATCATTTATAATAAACAATACACCTAATAAATAAATCTAAAAAGTTTAATAAACAAGTGGAAGAAAGATATTTCTTAGAGATGCTTGTAAAACTACTTTCTTCTTGAAAACTAATTCAAACAGCAGAGAATTTACAATGAAATCTGAAAGCAACAGTCCAAATATAGCAAATAAAAAATTAAATCTTCCTATTGTTAAATCATCATATAGTAAGAACAGATAAGTATCAAATGAAGTTCAACTTTTTAAATTTACTCCTAAATTAAATAGTATTAATCTAATATCTTGAATTAAAGATGACTATTATTAAAATTTTAATATTTATTATTTATTTGATATTGTATTTCGTTTTAGCCATTCAATAATTATTAATTAGAATGAATAGAAGATATATAAGTAAGAAAGACTAAACTATAAAATGTGAAATTGTTTAAACTAAAACCTTTAAATCTAGAAGTTTTTAGATTATAAAACTTTCTAATGAGATATTTTAATAACAAAGAGGTTTAACTAGAAGAAAGAGTTGTTATTCTTCTTTTTTTGGATACATGAATTAATTTTAAAATCAAAACCACAATATTTTACCTGAATTCAAAACCAAATAATTCACTTAAGAAAAAGAGACGAAAGAAACCTATAGAAGACAAACATAAATAGCTGAAGATACTGTCATAAGGAAATTTAGAAGTGGCCTTTAAGATTTAACAAAATGCAAAACTGTAATATAAAGTCTAAAAATTCTTCAAAATAGGAATAATAAAACCATAAATTTTATCAATAAAAGTAGATCTCTATATAATAGAATTGAAACATAAAAGATAAGAAGAAACAGTTGTAAATGTTTGGAATGTGGTTAATAAAGTTAATTTTAATAGAAACATTAAAATGATCCATACTTCAGCTTTTTTAATAATAATGAGTTTTTGAAACGATAAATAATAAAAACTAATCCAAAATTAAAATAAATAAAAAATAAATTTTAATCTCATATCTAAAATCTAAAAAAATGTTATATCATAGAAAATAAATCATAAATCAATAAATATAAATCAATTTCAAGAACTACTAATCAATTATTACAGTTATCTTAAAAAAAACTTTATAATTATAGTTAGAGATAATCTTCAATTCCATCTTAAAGAATCAAAACTGAATTAACTTAATGTTCTCCTAAAGCATTCGAATTAAAAAATAACAAAAACCTTTTTATGAATTCAAAATAATATGTAAGTTAATCAAATTTTTAGAAAACAATTAGATATTTTACTAAAGATAGTTTTAAATCTTTGGCTTCTATTTATAAATGAGATTTTATTGAATTGATAATATGTTAATTATTATTTTTATAATTATAAATACATCAATCTATACTATTCAATATGAAAATTAAAAAATAAAACTATAATATTTAATTAAATTCTAATTAGATAAAAAAATGATGAAAGAAAAAAGAAAACGAATGATGTCAAATGAAGGTGTTCTAGCAGTAGTTACTGATTAAATTCTTACAGAAAATAAAGCTAAACTTAAAAAATTAACTAAAAAATAAATTTAACAATTAAAAGAAAATAAATTAAATCAATCAGATTCATCAATAGAGATTATTGAAAAGAAAAGTCCTTTGAAATGCTAAAAAAAAATTAAAGTTACATAAGAAGCATTGGAAAGATTTATAAAAAGAACATTCATAATTATTAGTGATGATGAGGCTTAAAACAATGATATTTGTAATAAGCAAGTATTATTAATATGAAAAAAATTAGAGCCTAAATTAAGAATAAAAGAAAAATTAATCAAGTTCAAGTTCAAGATCATCATCATTTTTATCTTTTTCATCTAGTAGCAGTATTTTATAATAATATGAAAAGAGAGAAAAATTTTAATAATTTTAAAATTATGGTTGATGATCATATTTTGCATTAAAATATAACAATATTTATTACAATAAATAAGAAACTCTTATTCTTTAAATTAATGAATAAAATAACTATAATTATTATAAAAAGCAAATGATTATATAATTGAAATAAAAAAAGTGAGTAATAATCATTAATATCAAAAGTATTTGTAAAATTATGTATAACCATAAAATAGTAAAGTTTTATCTCATAAAATATGTATAATTTTTATATAGTTAATAATAATATTGATAATAAAATAATTTAATTTTCATGTCCAGATTCTATTTTATTAGTAATAATTAATTAATTTTAAGTAATTACATATCAAAAATAAATAGTTTTGTTTATTATAATTTATAGAAATAGATTTATATAATATGATTTCAAATTAATAAAAGATAATACTGTTATTAAGATGTTACTCATTTAAAAATTTCCAAAATAATAAATAATATATGGTTATGAGTGAAAGAAGAGATGCTAAAGATTTTATTTATAATGTAAGAGATTGGAAACTATTAAATTATCAATTATCTAATACTTTAAATAGTGATTTATTTATTGGATTATATAATTTAATATTAATAAGATACTGAATTGAATATAAACAATTAAATAATAATATTTTAGTTTTTTTGAATCTATATTGTAAATTTTTTTAAGGATTATCAATGAAATTGAACAATAATCTTTTAACACTTAAATAAATAACAGAATTAGAATGTAAAATTACAAAAGATTATCTTATTTATAAAGAAGAAGAATATTCTGATTAATATTCATAGATAGTAGTGATTAAATCTAATAGAATAATAATAGTTACTTAAATAGAATAGGGTTGTAAAATAAATTTATCAAAGAAACAAAATGAAAATAGTTAATTAGAATTGAGTTTTAAAGAACACTAAATTTTATTGAATGTAAAATTGTTTATTCATTTAGATTATTGACCTTAAAACCTATAATGGATTAACTATTATCTCTTAAATCTTTTATTCTGTCTAAGAATTTTACGATTCTAACAGTTTGTAATAGAAGTAGTAATATATTCTGTTGGAATCCAACATGTACATATGCTTGTGATATTTCATTTGATAAGAACTTTCATATTTTAAAATAGATTGGAGCAGTAATCAAAAATGTATGTTACTTTTTGATAAATCTTATGTTATTGTTATCTATCCAACTCTAGATGATAGTGTTTGAATAATTAATTATATTAACTCATTTGATATTTGTGAACATTATATAATATGATATATTATGCCATTATAAAATGAAAATAAAAGACTATATTTAATATTTGAAAATGATCGATACTCAATTCATAAGGAAATTAAATAACAATTAATATTTGCAATCAAATAAGCGAACAGCATTCATCTGCTACTTCAGTATCAGGAGATACATAATTATATTTTTTCCAGCATTCTACTTCAATAACAGTTTGAACATCTTTCCCTTTCTCTATTTCATCAACAAATGTAATTTTGTGTTTCTTAACTCCTTTTTATATTTCTATACCAGCTTTGTCCTGTCTTTTTATTTTTTAAACTACTATCTAATCTTAATTCACAATATTATTTGTTAATTCCATACTATTATAAATATGAACAAATCCTACTCAAAATACCTATGATCATTCTTTTAAAACTCAATTTTTAAATTAACATATTATTCAAATACATAATTTATCAACCTATGTAATTCATAATTATAGAAAAACCATATAGTATTAGCAACATAAAAAGGGACATCACTAAAATAAATAACAAAATCTATAATTTCTATTATATGCTTTGTTTCTCTTATTATTAAAAAGTTTATATCATTAAATCTTTAGTTCTTGATACTTAGGTTCAAATACAATAGATAAATAGAAACATAGTAATTAGATGATATTTAAAAATAATAATAAATTATAATTTAATAGTATAACAATATTATAGTAAGAACTATTTTTAACTGTTATTGTTATATTAAATGAACTTGAATATTGAAATTGTATAAATTAAGAGAGAATATTAATTTCTAAAATGTAAATGATTATAAATAGAAGAATATATAGGAGTTGGATTATTCCATTTATAATCATCATTTTAAAATTGATAATATTGTAAATTTGAACATATAGTTCATTTTTTTTTATTACTTTTAAACATATTTTAGATTGGATCGTATGGATCAGGTTCTGGTTTCCATCCTTTTTGATATTTCCATGTTTTTGGAATTTTTCTATCTTAAGGTTTAAGATCTTTGTTTCTTTATTTATTATTTTAATCAGTCATAAACTTTTCTAAAGCCTCTCCTTTACCATATGTTCTATTAATTGTAATTTTATTAGGGTCAACTTAAATTTTTTCAATTTCCTTTTGATAATATTTATTAGAAATACTTATTATAGATTTTTAATTTATTCATCAATATTATAAGGTTTAGTAGCATCCTCTAATTTAAGATTTTCTGAATTGCCTGCTAAGAATCCCCAATCTCTATTCCAAGCAGCTGTACATGTTAATTCATTGTTAACTCTTCCAATCCAATTTCTATCATCTGCAACTGGATCTCCTGTTGATACAAATTTTCCTCCTGCTTATTTTTACTAAACTTATTTAGGCATGAAATTTATTTGATATAAATATTAATTAATTAAGTTACATTAAAATGATGCATATATATATATTATATATATATATATCGAAATTTGTATTGTTATAATTTATTAATATGAAGAAATAAAAAGAAAATAAAAACAAAAAAGAGTTCATTAAATATTATAATAGTTGTATGTTTCATCTTTTTTTATTGGAAAATCTCTCAAGCACTTTATTCAATGAATCTTAATGTATTTTAACTTTAGGGGTCACTGAGAGTAATTAACTCATATTTATAATAGTATATTTTGGTTTCTTTTTAATTGGAGATTATGAAATATTTTTTTATTTTGATTATTCATCTAATGTTAATGTAGGAGTGAATTTGAAACTAATTCTAGTTTTAGTAGTAGAAGGAGTGTAAAAATTGGCACTATAAGAACTCATTTAAAATGCTTAACTTTATGTAGGTCTATGATGATGAAGAGAGTTAATGGAGTGATTAAATTATTTTGGTTATGATAAAGTTCTTATTCTATGACTACTATTTTCTGATATTCTTTTTTCTAATTTAGGTAAATAACCTGTAAATAATGTATCTAAATAGCATTATTCTTCAATATCCCATCCTGAATTATCACATAAATTCATTTAAAATATATATATTTTAATATGTTTCTTTGAATTAAGTTGCAAATCATAATAATAGTATTTTAATTATAATCTTATAATAGATAGTAATGTTTATGATATATTTAATAATTCTATAAAGGTATAATAACTATTGAATAATAAAATTAAAAAAACATATAATGAAATAATCAACTAAATAAGAAAGAAGAGGATCATTTGATTCTTAGCTTTCTAATTCTATATTTAAATCTAATTTTATTGCATTAGATGTAAAAAAATAAATAGATGATTAAATCATAAATTATTAAGGAGATGATGAATTTGAGATGTTAGAAAAATGTATAATATATATATAAATTAGAATAAAAAATTATACCAATACCTTTGTTTAATAATGATTAATTAATTAAACTAAACAAAAAATAGAATTTTGGAGATGATGAAAAATTATAATTAGCTGCTACATTAATATAATAAAGAGGGATCAAATATTTGTAGTAAGATATCTATCAATATTTAGACGAAAAGCTATTTGGATGACATTTATAGAAAAAGGAGATGCAAAAAAGTATTTTTCTAAATAACCTCCTTAATAAGTGGAATAATAAATAAAAAAGGATATTAATAGAACTGGATATGATGATAAAATGAATAACAATAAATATATTAATCTATTACATAGAATTCTAAGAGCATATGCAATATATAATCCAAAAATAGGTTATACATAAGGAATGAATGTTATTTGTGGAAATATTATTCTCTTATTAAGTATTGATGGAAATGATAGAGAGTTGGAATTAGATAATTTTGAAGTAATAGAAGATGAAGAAGAAATGTTTTGGATGTTTGTTCATTTAATGAAATCAATGGAAGATCTATTTATATCAGGAGTACCTGGCATTCATAGAAGAATTAAATAATTAGAATAAATGATTTAAAATAGATGTAATGAAATACTATTACATTTGTAAAGTAATAATATAGTATGAAAATGTTAATTTATATAGGATAACTTATGTTAATGTTTTAGTTAATATTATTTTACAATGTTAATGTAAAAATAAGAAAAGAAATTTGCAAGATTAATATTAGAAATGTTTTTATTATATGGAGAAGCATTTATTTAAAATTTTATAGTTGGAACATTATAATTTTATTAATTTAAAATAATAAAAATGAATGAATTAGAAAAATTAATGCCATTTTTTAGAGATACAATGTTTTCTTCTTATTATTAAGAATTAAAAAAATTGAAAAAACAAAATTTAATTATATAACATTTTTAATAGAATCATTATTTTGATAAAGATCCATATTTAGGTATTAATTAAATTGAATCAAATATTGAAAAATAATCGAAAAGAAAATTTATTCCAGAAAAAATATTAAATTTACTTTCTAAAAATTGGTTTGGAAAAATCCTTGGTTAATAATGAATTATATATATATATATATATACTCAAATGTTTATTTATCAACCTAAACGTATACCTTATCCTTAAAAGAAATTCTATCTTTAAGGTTGTTAGAATTATTATTAATTAAATCTATTTCTTGCAAAAGGTGCATATTTTACAATATGTTTATTTATAAAGTTCTTACTAATAATTTAAATAATAAAATTCATACAAAAATTAAGGTGTTTCCAATAAAGCAATACTATGAGTGACTGGTAGAAAATCTTTTAATAATAAATATGAATGTGCTATTCCTAAACCTATAAGATCTTAAACTATGTCTTAATCTGTAATAGCATGAAAAGCAATCAAAACCCATGGAAAATATTCACTCTTAAATTAAAATCCAAAGTAAAATCTCACTGTTTCAAATGGTTTTCTCTTACACCAAACATATATTAATGCAAAACAAAATGCTGCTGATAAAAATCCATAATCAAATAACCAACTCATTATCTAAATTATCTATATGAATTACATCTCCTGTTATAAAAAAGTAAAGTATCATATAATAGAAATCTGCATAATTAGATCCTTCAAACATTATTTCACAATTTTTTATACAAAAGATTACAAACAATAAATGAAGGATAAAACTAAAACTTAATATACCACTAAAAAAGTAATGAGTAATTAGTCTATGTATCTATATAATATTTTATAATAATAAATACTTAAAGACTAAATATTTTATTAGCATCAAACATTAAATACCACAAATAAGATGGCTTGAATTTTCCTATTATTCCAAATAAGACTAAAACACTCACATATGTTCTTGTAAAAAGAGGCTATGTTTTGTACCAACTGTTAAAATCGTTGATCATGATTGACGTGTTTTTTTATTATAATAAATTATAGAAATTAATTAAAGAATATTCTCTTTTAATTAATACTAATAATTTTCAATCATTATATAATCAAATTATATAAACATAAATTTCATATATAAATTAATTCAAATTACATAAGAATATAGAAAATGAATTAATTCTAACAATTTAAATTAATATAAAAATATAATTAAATTTACTTAATCAATATAATTTATTGATATATATAATAACTTTATAAATTGACTAGAATATAATAATTGTTACCTAAAACTTTTCAATATAGCACACATGCCCGAGTGGTCTAAGGGGCCGCACTCAAGATGCGGTGAGTCATTCTCGCGTGAGTTCAAATCTCACTGTGTGCAATTTTTTTGATTTTTATTATATTTTAATTATATTTTTATTCATCAATTTTATAAATATATCTTAATTCAGAAATAAATGCTTAAAGTAATTATTCTAAATAATATAAATTTATAAATTAATAAAAATTAAATCATTATATTGGCTTCAAATCAAATGCTAATGTCATAAGAGCATGATTTTAGAGTTTTGTTTTATCAATAGGAGGTTTTTAAAATGGTAGATTCAAAGTAGGTAAGGAATATCTACCATACTTAATTAAATCATGTACAAACCATGTGACTTTATCTTTTTTAGTAGAGAAATACAATAATAATTAACAAGCTTATTTAGTAATTCCTTAATTCTTTTCACTATTAAAATCAATTTCAAATTCAATTTTTTCATCTTCAAATAATATTGCTCCTTTTTAACTTTCAAATGTTTAATCTATTTTATATTTACATGGTTCATCATTTACATCATATACTATTTTATCTTTACAACATATAGCTATATCTACTATATATTCATCATCTCTAATTACTCCATTAAGCATTTCAAGTAATATGACTACTTTTTAAACATAACTTTAATCACCTGATTTATCTTGAGATTTATTAAAAATACTTGGAATTGGTCCTTATGATCTACTAGATTTATTAAGATTTGACATTTTTGATTAATCTAATTTAGATTAATTACTTAAACTAACATATGTATCATATAATTGTAATTAATTAGCTTTTTATTCAGTTGTCATAATAATAAAATCTACTTCAATTTCTTATTTTTTCATTGTTTCTGGATTAAAAGGAGGTGATTAACCTGGTGGAGCTAATAAATTACATTAATAAGCTCCTAATTTCATTTTATAATCATTTTATGCATTATCAAGATAAAATAATGGAGTAGCTAACCAACCAAATAAATCCTTTTAATTAATAAATAAACCCATAAATAACATAACATCATCTCCTCTATAATTGTATAACCAATCAAGTGATAATGTAAATTCATGTTTTGTTTTAAATTCAATTTCTTTTTCACCATTTGTTTTTATAGGTTCTAATTATAAAACAGCCATCTAAGGTTATTATTCAAAATCTTCTAAAATTTTAGAACCATTAAATACACCTAATTTTAATTTAATAGGAGCAGTTTTATATTCATTAGTAGGTAATTTAGCTAATTTAACTAATCTAAATGTTAATTTTGCATCTCCAAATTAACTTTTTTATCTATTTGTTTATGATCCAGGAGTTGGAGTTGTATTTTTAGATTAATTTTTAGATCCTCTATTTGAAAATCTATTTTTCATTTTTGAAGTTGCTCCTCCACTTTTTGTAACAGGACTATCAGCTGATTAATTAGTATAGGATAATTATGAAATATTTTATTTAAAAGTTTAATTTGATAAACCTAAATCAACAGGTGGAATATCTTTCTTTTTCTCAAATCTTTTAGCTTCATTTAAATAGACATCTTAAATTTCAGCAAGAGATGCTGCATGTGCTGTTGTATGTATATGCATATCAGGCATATCATATTCACTTTCTATTACTATGATATCATTGGAATCTAAAATTGGATCTCCAGGAAGACAAATTCTACCATAAACTAAAGTATTATTAACATATGGTAATGCTTAAGTAAATAAGAAATTTGGATTTAATTTTTAACTGTAAAATGGAATTCTAAATCTTCCTATTAGTAATTTACCTTCATCTTAAAATAATCTGATCATTGACCATCCAATAACTTCTGGTATATTTGATTAATATCCCCATAATTCAACAAATACATATGTATCTGGATAAGCTTCTAAATCTCTAATTACATCTCTATCAAAGAATACTGCTTTATTTGTTCTATAAGTTTCAAAAGCAGTAAGTGAATCTTTAGTTTATTTATATGGATACATATCTGAACCTTTTCTAAATATTCCATAATTTATTCTTAAAGTATGAAATTGAATTTCAACCATAGATGCATAATCAAAAAATAGTACAAATCCTTCACTTGCTGCATAATGTACTGCTCTATTTGATCTATCAAATAAATTAACTTATTATTTAATTAGTTTTTTTCTATACTCTTTGTCTTTATTAATTGCTTCAGAAACTCTTTTATCAAAGATAGCCTTTTCTATTAAATTTCTTAACTTTTATAATTCTTTATAATTATCCATTAATCTTTAATGATCAACAGATCTTGGATCTAATCTATTCATCATTAATAATAATTCAGCTTCTTAATTTCTTAAATACTCTAAAGTCATATCATCTGCATTATTAGGATCAATTTTCTTTTTTTCTTCCAATTTCATAGGTTGAGTTTATAATTATAATTTATTTAATTCTTCCCTAAATGATTATGGTAAATATTAATAGATTGGATGAGTTGATAAGGAATTTGTATTAATTAAATTATCTTATTAATGAAAACCTTATTATGGACGATGTAGATTAGGTTATGAATAAGATATATTAGGGGCCATTGGTTATTAATATACTGTATTCCTTTGATTTTATGGGATATGTATATATTAAGGTTATGTAGAAACATCATATTGAGAACCATTTGCTTTTCTATTTATACTTCTTTCTAATTAGGTTAGATTTAATAAAAAATTAGGATCTACTCCTCCAGCTTTAACATAATCTTTTCTCAATTAATCTATCTCATTTAAATAACTATCTTAATCATTTACTATTTTTTTATTATCATTAATTTATTCAAATGGTAATACTAATCTTGTATTACCTCTATTATATTCTTCTAATTATTATCTTATTTTTGATAAATGTTCTAATTATTCTCTCTAAGTTTTTCCAATACTTTATTTCAATAAATATCTAACTTCATTTGATGTATTATCCCCTGGACCACTATCTAATATGAAAACATTCAAATACTCATAACTTCATCTAAATCTCGATGTAAAATATCATCTGCTTATCTAGCTTTTAAAAATTATAATCTTGCTTCATCCTTATTTAATTTTTATTTTGCAGCATCAAAATTTTAGTTTTTACTAACATCCATTAATACTGAAAGTCCAACACTAGATAATGTATTTGGATTTTATTATTCTCTATATATTTTTGCTTTTTCTGTCTACAGTTACTCATATTATAATTTCATCTTCATAATTTCTTCTCTCTTTTTATACATTTCTTAATTTGATATACCCTTTGTATTCATTAATTTTTCATTCAATATATATTATTCTCTATAATTTTATAGATTCTTTAAAAATTGTTATTCTTTTCCATGAGTTGCTTATCTTTAAGACATTAAATTTTGTAAATAATATTTCTTTTATACTTATTCAGGAGTTAAGAATTTCATTCCTCCTCTATCTAATTAATTAATTTCTGCTTAAATTTTAGCCATATCTCTTTCATATTCACCTTATATAATATGTAATCTTTTATAACAATTATAATTACTTATTTAATAACGAAAACATCTCTTATGCTTCTTAATCATGATTTGCTTATCTAATTGATAAATTACTCTTTTGATTTGCTTATTCTAATAAAGAATCACTTAAAATTCTAGACATACTTATAATTCTTAATCTCGTAAAACTAATTTATTATTTATTTATAAAAAATTTATATTGATAATTAAAATAGTACATAAAATAGAAAGTGGAGAAAAAAATACAAAAATTAAATAATGTACATATTGATATTTAAAGTTCAATTACCTTTCCAGAAAAAGTAATAATTATTTTAATGTAATAGAAATATAATACAATTTGTGAATTGCCCAAAAGACCTAAAAGAGGAGAGAATCTAACCTAAGATTTTAAGAGAAAAATTGTTGAGTCAAATCATTTTGAAATTCAATTCTTGAAGGATGTATTTCTTAACATTTACAGTTTTGCTTTTTAACCTGAAGTTTCTTTGGATTCAGAAAAGTTAATTAAAGAGAGGTTTAATTTATATAGAGATGAAATTAATAAACAAGGAATCAAAAGGTTTTGTATAGCAGGAACAAACTTGTGGAGTTATGATTAAAAGAAAGATCCTATTCATATAGAAAAAGTAGTAAATGGATAAAAAAAGATAATAGATATTAAATATATTAAGACAATTAATTTAAAATAGATTACCTAGTTTGATGATTAATAATCAATAAATGTAACAAAATAAGCTATCAATGCTATACTTAAGTAAATTTATGAATCTAGAAATATGAAAGAGTTGTTTGGAAAAGGAAAATTTTATGAATCAAAAATGAATGATACTTAGGAACTCGAAGATTATCACATTGCCTATTTAAAAGGGTTCAGAAGTGCATTTTGTAATGGTCAATCAACTCCTTTACTATAAATAGATTATAGCACTAAATTAATAAATACGAATACAATTTTGGATTTTATTTCAGGTTTTGGATAGGGATTGTAAAAGGAGAAAAGATTAAAAAAATTAAAACAGGAATTGATAGACTCATCAGGATATGCTATGTATTCAAAAAGATTCTATAGAATTCATGATATAGATTATTCTAGAAATCCGAAATCTTTAATGGAAGATGGAAAAACTACATACTGTTAATATTATTTGTAAAGATATAAGATTAAGATAAGGGATTTATACTAACCCTTATTAGTTCATTACACTAAAAAAGGATAGGAAATAAGATTAATACCTGAATTAATGTGGAAAACTGGTTTAACAGATCAGTAAAAAAATAATAATTAACTCAAAAAAATCCTAAAACCTATAGTAATAGTAGATCCAAAAGATAGATAATAGAAGATTATCAAGGAGAGAAGTTAATTAGAAGAATTAATGAAAAAATAAAGTATAATATTGAAATCTAATTCTACAACACAAGCATATGAAATAAGAAGTCCAGAAATAAATTGTAAAGGAGAAATAAAAAGTTATTCTGGTGGATGCTTTGAAATAAAAGATAAGTTTTATGAATAAACAGATTTAAACAATTGGGTTGTAATATATAATGATTAAGATTCAGACCTTGCTGGCACTCTTATAAATTAATTACTTAGAAAAGGACAAAATTATGGTTTAAATTTATCAAAACCTACCCATTTAGTAGTTGACAGTTATAATAGTCAAGAATGGGTATTCTGTCTGTAATAAAATTTTGAAGCGAATGGAAGGCCAAAATTAGTAATTTCATTAATTGATCAAAAAAAGGATAAACAAATTTATTAAGAATTAAAAAAATATTTAATTGCAGAGGAAGGAGTATCTCATTAAAATATCACATTATAATTGATTCAGAACCAAAAATTTTGTGCAATAGTTCCTAAGATAATCTTATAAATACATAGTAAATTAGGGAAATAACCATGGAATATTTAAAAAATAAATGAAATATCCAATAATATTATGATTGTGGGAATTGATGTTTATCATAAAACCGTTAAAGGAGATGATTCTTGTGTCGGATTTAATGCTTAATTTGGCTAATAAGGTTATGGAAATTTCACAAAAACTTTAATTGTAGATAAAGGAAAAGAAATAAATAGAGATGTTGCAATGTTATTAGAAGAAAGTCTAAAAGAATATTAGAATTTTAATAATAAAAAGTTACCTGATACAATTGTAGTATTTAGAGATGGAGTAGGTAATTCACAAATAAATAAATTATATTAAGAGGAAGTAGAAACTATGAAAGAAATTATTAAGCATAAATATAATTAAAAATTACCATAATTTACATTTATAATGGTGAATAAGAGAATAAATGATAGATTCTTTTCAAATACAAAAGATAATTATGGATTGATTGTTGCAGATAGAGTAGTCTCATCTCATTTTGATTATTTCTTGATTGCATAATAAGTTAATTAAGGAACTGCTACTCCAACACATTATACAGTTTTGGAAAATACAACAAATTGGAATGAAGAATTATTTTGGAAATTCACATATTATTAATGTTATAATTACAGAAATTGGTGTGGACCAGTTAAAATACCAGCTTGTGTTTAGAATGCCCATACTGCTGCATACAGAATTGGGGAAATTATCAAAACACATGCTAATTATTACTTAGAAACAAAATTATTTTATTTATGAAATTTTGTTTCGTTGTGATTAAAATATATATATACATATTTCATTAATTTTATTATTTGAAGTAATCACTAAAACTATATTTTTTAAATCCATCCTTCAAAACCTTTAATGTCATAATTTCTTAATTTTGTTCTATTATTTTAGTCTATTATTCAATTAGTAATTATTTTAATTGTTCATTTTCTTATCTAACTAATTCCATCTCTTATTCAAAATCATGATTTCGTTATAATAGTTTTAATATTCTCTTCTCTAATTATTCTTATTCTTCATTTTACTTTGGTATTTAAACTAACTTATTAAATTCATTAATACTATTTTCAAGTTCCTAAATGTATTCTTATAACTTTTATTATTCTTTAACTTTGTTTACAGTCTCAACAACCTCACTTCTAATTCTGGTTCCATTCTTTTGAATTGAATTTATCTTAACTCCAGAACTTCCGCTAACTCTTACTAGTTTCTCAGGAGTTACAAATTTTTACTAAGGAATTGGTGAATGAGAAGAATTTCGTGAATTTCTCATATACAAAGAATTAGAAGGTGTTCTATTCATATTTTAAATAATTTTTAACTTCAAATATATTAATAAACTTATAATACTAATATACTATCTCAATAATTTATCGATAATGCTTACTAAGCCATTTCAGAAAAACTATCAATTGCAATTTTAGCTAATCCATTAATTCCCCAAGTATCTCCCCATGTATTTTCAATTATCCAATACTATTATCCATTTTATTCACCCCATCCTATAATTTTCACAGCTTAGCCACCATGAAAATGAGGTTATCCATCCAATACTTAATAAATTCCATCTCTATATATTAAAAAATCTTTATAAACTGGAATAATTGCAACAACTGGTCCTTTTATTAAGATATCTCTTTTGATATCCTATTATATAAATATTAATACTTCTTTATTTTGTAATTAACAATATGAATCTGCTTTATACCTTTAACAATGATTAAGAGCATTAGTACACTCTTTAAATGTATCATCTCCTTTAAAAGGATGACATTCATTAGTTGTTAATCCATGCTTTATAATATAATCAGCTGATCTTGTTAAATGTCCTCCTTTGCAACCCAAATTTAATTTACCATCACATGATAATAAATTTTGAGCAGACAATTATTAAGTCTAATTTTATTTGCATACTCTATCTGAGAATGAAGAAGAAACAGCAATAGAATAAGATGATGAACAATTTCCTTAATTATAAACTATATGATTGCATTATGGATAGATTTCTTTGAAATTATAATATAAAGGAATTTCATCCATAAAAGACAATTTGCATTTCTCTACATTTATTTATTAAGTGAAATCATTTTTAAATAAAGTTTTTGCTTACATTAATGTGATATTCTATTGTAAATATAATAATTAAAACATAGAAAAAAGCATTTGGGCCTAAAGTATATGAATGGCCTTATGAATTATGTGACTTGATTTCAGATTCATTAATGATAATGTATTCTTTTGTTTATTTAGTAAACGATAAAATAGAGATAATTATAAACCCAATCACAACTATAAGCTTTGAAAAATGTTCTTACTTGATAATATAATATGAATTCTGTATGTAGTTATAAAATCTGGTTTTGAAGTCCTTTTCTTAATCGCAGTTTATAATAGTTTTAGTTTCTCAACTTATTGTTTTGTAGGACAAGGACTCGTTGAACGTGGTCCACGCATTCTTAATTAATTAATAATTATTTAATCATTTTTTATCATAATAAATATGTCATACGTAAAACTTACTCTTGTTGATATTTCAGTAATCCTAATTAATTAAATAAGATATAATAAGAGACATAAAATTAAATGATACATATTTTCATAAAGCTCTGCATAGTTTTCATTATTGATTAAAAATAAAATATAGAAATAATATATAATTAACTAAGATTAATAATTTAGACCACTTGGTTATGAACAAATATTATTTATTAAAATCTAAATCAAATCTTCTGAGATACTAATCTAATTTTGTTAAAAAATAGTATTTAATATTTACCAAAAAATAGTCTTAATAAAATATATCAAAAACATTTTAAAGTCAAGCATTCTAACAAAATGATTTAATATTATATTCATTCTTAATCTTAATTTTGAAAATTAATCTCTTAATAAAAAATTCTTAAATTTTAAACACTATAATTATTTCGTAATGATATAGAATTATAAATATTGCCTTGATTATTATTCTAGATCCCATTCATAGTATATTTAATAATTAGAATTGTTATAAGAAAATAAAATGAAATTAAATAATATCAGATAATTTTTTGAAATTTAACTAAGAACATGTCTTCTAAAATTATTTATATTCAACCTAAATTATGAAAAAGATTTTTCTATTCAAATTTAATTATTCTGATGTTTAGTTTAATGATTGTTAAATACATTCAATATAACTTAATGATTTGTTTACAGAAAATATTCCAAAGTTTATTTCAATCAGTATTTATCATAATCATCTACTTTCTATTTAAGTTTCTAATACCAGTAACTGATTTAATTATTTTAAGATGTTTATATTGTTTTGTAAATTGTAAAATCAATAACTCTGTAATAATTTTCTTTATTGATATAAAGTTTTTAATAGAAAAGATTTATAAAAATCAATACTTTTATGATATTGATAACTATAATTTCATAATAGCTATTTAAAGCCTATAGATATTTGATGAATATTTCATAATAAAATTTAATAATGGATAATTAAAAGAAGTGCCTTTTTGAAAAATTTGGAGGAGATTAACAAGTTTCAGAACTCATTGATCAATTCTATTATAAAGTATTGTTTGATAAGTTACTTCGTGACAAATTTTTGAAGGCAGATATGAGTAGAGTTCGATATCAATAAAAACGATTCTTCGCTTAAATGATGGGTGATTCCAATACATAATACACTGGAAGGTATTTTATTTGCATATATAATAATAGAGATTTAATCGAAGTCCACAAAAATCTCAATATCAGCAACTAATAATTTGATAAATTTAAAACACATCTCAAAAATATTGCTTTAGATATGGAAATACCCAATGCAGATTTAGAAGAGCTACTTCAATAAGTTGAAAAACACAGAGAAGTTATTGTATTCTAAAAATGATAATAATGTTTATGTAATTGGTTATTCTTATATATACAAATATCCAATTATTTTTATCATATTAATTTTATCCATATTATTTTGGAATTCTAAATTGCATCATGTACAAATGTATATTATACAATTTCTAATATATATAATACTAAAAGTATAATATTACGTAATATTATCAAATAGAAATATTGTGAGTAGTAGTGAATCCTTGATAATCGAAATAATAGTTAATTTTAATATCATATTGAATCAATAATCAAATTTAACTAATGCAATGTCTTTTCCTAAGAGATGAGTTTGCTTTTATGCTTATTTATTACTTTTCACTTTTTGTCTAATTTTTATTGAATAAAGGAATCAAATAGACATTCTAATATTTCTTATTTTGAGCTATTATAGTTTCCCTATAAATTGGAGATCTTTAAGTTAAGGATTTTAAGGAATAATTTTCTAATAAAGGTTTAGTTGGTTAACTTATTTTACGAATAGGACTTTAAGGTTTAGATGATATCTTGAAAGTATTTAATTAATCTAAATTAAATAACGAGGACTTTTTTTATTTTTATTCAGCAATCAATTATAACTTTTCTTCAGAATTAGCTAATATTATGCTCTAACGAAATCTACAGTGATGTGCAAATCTACTTTGTCTTCGAGATGATAATACTGATGATTTCTTCAAAATTGGCGAATCTTCAAATTGAGGAGAGAATTCGTCAGCATTTAAAGATGATTAAGTTTAAGAAATGGCAATTTATTGTTTTTTAAACGTTGGTCTTACTTTCTCTCTGTATAATGGAATATGTTGTGTCTTAAATTAAAATTAACTTTAAGTTCCACATTCTGAACAATAGCAACTCCTTCTTCTATTTTGATTAATCTTCATTAAGTTGTGCACATCTGATTTGTATGTAGATCTAGGGGTATTATCTCTTTATTATTAAAAAACAATTGGTTTATATGACTTGAGATAACTATACAAAGACCCTTGTTTGTCATCACATTTAGAATTAATAGGATTGTGTTGTCTACTCATCATTATTAGTAAAATATGATATTAAATTTTTTAATCAAATTGTACATTTTAAGTCTTATTTCTTATTTAATTAGGGTTAATCCAAATTATTTATATTGAAACAGCTCTTCTAAATTCTATGGTAATTTAATTATATACAATAAAATGAATAAAATAAAAATCATTTATTTTCTGTTCATAAATTTGAAGATTAAAAAAAATAAATACAAATCAAGTTATTAATTAATTGATTTTATACATCCTTGAGTCAGTTGATGATTTTTTAATTTTAATTACTCAATATTTTTTGAAGAAATTGATTATTAATTGAATGATTCATATGAGACTGGTCCTGTCAAAAATTTTACTCTAGATATCATTAAAACTAGTTTTAAATAATTTATTTCGTGTTTTATTTTGTAATCTAAGCTATCGTCTATAATTTAATAGCAACTTAATAATGATCTATTTGTTATAAAATTTATCTTAAAGCTAGTTACATACAGCAGAATAAGGTAGAATTTTCATCAAATAAAAGTTCAATCTTAATTAATACTCATTAAATAAAATTTTTAGTCTTTCCTGCTTCATTAGTAGTATCCATTTTTTTGTTATTAATATTATAAATAAATTTTAGAAACTTATACTTAAAAGCAAAAAACTTAAATAAAATTGATATTAATGCAGAAGAATGTATTTTAATTCATTGAAATATAATAAATCATAATCAATAGGAATATATATTTACAAACAATAAAAACTATTTAAGGATTAAAAAAAATGATTTAATAGTATGTGAAATTAACAAGGGTTTTAACAAGAGAATTCAATTAGTAAAATATGAAGAATTATCTCTATTCCCCTCTCTTATGGATTTTTGATTTAAAGCCTCTATTGAAAATGATAAGATAAATATCTTATCAACAATACTATACTTCTAGTTATTATAAATTCATTGAAAATTTAAAATGATTAAAAATCTCTCTTTAATATTTAATTTACCCCTTTTTCACATTGTAACCCAAAAGATATAATAAAGATTTTCCTTAAAAATTTTTTTTATTATCTTTATATGCTAAAAAAGTTGGTTAATCTGTACGAATCACTTTATTTAAATATATGATTGTATATTTTTTTTATCAAATTAAATTAAATTTTTTCATATATATTTGCCGATTTATTGATTCAATTTGTCTATTTGAATTTAGATTATTTTGCAATAATTCTGCTTTCCTATCTTTTTTGATCTCCATTTATAAAAAAAATCTTTACATTACTCCATTTTGAATCAAAATGTTTGGAGCTCCTTTGAGTATTTTTCTAAACCATGCTCTCTAGAAGCTCCATTTAAAAAAAAAAGTAAAAATTTTCTAGAGAAAAGCGCATAAAAAAACTCAACTCTTATATATATAATTAT